GTTCCAAATTCAGTCTTCCTGTAGCACCGTCAAAGATCACTGCTACTCCCAACTCGGGACTTGCCAAATGGGTTTTCAGTAATTACAGTTTCCTGGATTTATTATGCCGAAGCTCCCATTCGAGATAGTGTGACCAAGATTACAGATATCTAGATCTAACCGATAATCTTAACGTTAACCGATACAGATCTAGTTTTTTTAAAATCGTTATCCATGGGATTTGAACTCTAGACCTGCTGTTTGGAGATGCGACAACTCCACCACTTCACTAAGTCGCCACACCTCTCAACTAGTCATTTATTTGAACATTTATTTCCTAATAAGAATATAAAAAAATTTTGAATACAGTTAATCAATTAGAATAATAAAGCATGTCTGTTTGACTTTAATGGAAATTAGGATGACTATCTAATTGAAAATCCTGTATACTTCTGGAATAATCTTCAAAATGAGGTACCAGAAATGGCTATTTTTGCTACTCGAATTATGTTTATACCACCTATATTAGCTAAAAGTGAAAGATTCTAGTCATTTATAGCGAATATTCATTCACCAAAATGTCACCGACTGACAAATAAATATGCAATGAAAATGACATATATTCGGTAGTATATAGCTCAAGAAAAAAATTGTTCAAATCATATTCAAAATAAAAACATAAATAATTTTAAACAAATTGTTCAAATTAATACACCTAATTCTAATGAAATATGTTATGACAAAATTATATCTAATATCGAATTTAATGATATAGACAATATTAATAATAATTTAAAACAATTTGAGGAGGAAGATGTAATACAAATGATTGCAAATATTAACAATTTCAATACTAATGATCAAATTATTTATAATGAAGTAATAATCGAATCTTCCATTCAAGCTACATATAATAATCACGAAGCAACATTAGAAAACTGGTTATTTCTAGAAAAAATTAATAATATTTAATTGCATCTACATATGCAATAATGATATTAAATAGTAATTTACAACTTAGCGATAAATGTTTTAAAAAAAATAAATATTAAATTTGAAAGGCATCTGTATTTGCAATAATAATATCAAACAATAATTTATAACATACAATGAGTATTTATATTAAATTAGAAAATTTCTATTTGATACATATAATAATAATATTTTTATTATCATAAATAGAATTATTATATTTATTATAATGAAATTTAAGAATATGTAACAATATGCAAGAATATGTAAAAATATTTTAAGAATATATAAAAATTTTGCCTATCTCTATTAGCAATAGTCTTAAACTATAAAACCTTTTTCAATTATGTAAAAAGTTTTCATTAAGTCTAATAAAGATAAGAGCATGGTCTCACCTTTAATATTAAAAAAAAAAAAATTATGCTATTTGTAATTATCTGTATGTATATTGGGTTGTACTAGTTTCAGACTAAAATTTTTGAACTAATTTAAATGAGCTAATTGTCATTATTGAACCCTAAATAGAATCACAATTTAATCCAAATCTTTGATTTTTTTTATTTTGTCTTATAAATTATGTAGGTACTATAATAGTATCTATTAAGAGTCTATTATGCATTATTCTGCAAAAAGAATTTAATAAGTATATATCAAACTTATTAAATTATTGTCTAATTGATTAACTTGAGTATAATGACATACTGTTTGGCATTACAGTGAAAAAAATTATCTCAAAAAATACATCTCTAGTATTAAACAAGTAATTAGTATTTAGAATCACATAATATAAACAACAGATAATTCTAATCACAGTACCTGAAATTAACTAGTTTATAACTATATATACAGCCCTGAAGTGTATATTTTTGGATACAAACATACTAATTGATTATACATTGTAATAATCCTAAAGCTAAGTAATTAAACTTGATCAAACCTATTTCAATATGCAGAGTAAGTTTTATTAATACAAATGTACAATTATTTATAGCCACATATCTCTAACTCTTAATTAACTAATCAAACTTAATAAAACCTATTAAATTATACCAATATATATATGTAAGTTTTTACAAACATATCAATCAATTATGCATAGTTAAAAAATCACTAAATCGAAATTATCTGGTCAAGCCTGATTAAAACTATGCAGTGTATATTTTATTAATAAATTAATATTGTTAAGTTATTTTTATTTCTGTCTTTTGATTATTGTAATTTTCATATTTCATCTATTTATTTATTTTAGAAGAAGCCTCACTCGTTACTCCAACTCATCCTAACTAACCATATTTTTGTTAGATCTATTTTTATCTATTTACTTTTATCATGTTTCTCTCTCTCTTAATTTTTTTTTTTTTTATGATATATTCGCCTCAGGGATTATTTAAAGCCAGGTAGTAATTTATATATATCAAGTGAATTTTAAATTACAAATTTGTTAGTAATTAATTTAAAAAACTAAACAGAAAAT